ATGGATGGATTATACAATACTCAAACCAGAGTTATGAGGAAAATTTAAAAATATTGACAAATATAGACTTTTTATTAATAACTTCCAGCTGTTTTAAATTAAAAAAGGTGATATCTGGAACTTTCTACAAATATCTGGCCCTAAAGAGAAATCTCAACAGTATGTGAATTTTTGATATCGCCGGCCACCAGGTGAGAATAATTATGCTGATCACTGCCGAGCAGGTGAGCGTGGTGAACAGACAGGCAGGAATCATGACATTCCCACTCTCTTATAAACACTTCATATGCTCTGAAACACTTTGGAGATGGTGATGAACATGATGACTATAAGATGAACACACAATATAAAAAATCTGATTTAAAAACATGCGATACAGTCAAGCTGCAATAAGTGAACTGCGATACAGCGAGGGACGACTGCATTACATTGGACCACCTTTGATTTTAATTACTGTGTACATGCAATTAGATAAGTTTATACAACATCCCAATATTAACTTTGTTCCCAGTATGTCATTTATCTTGTAACCTATTAATTACTTTATATCATATGATTTATGTTAAATATGCTATAATAATGCATTGCAGCGATGTCGAACATTCAACTCGCTCACACATCTCTGGTGAGTTTATTTTTTAAAGAAAAAGAAAGAACCATTTCTCCCAATCGTCATCATAAAAGAGCTAAAACAATTTCTGCTGGAGGGAACATTATACTATTTCCATAAAGAAGATCTTATCTTGTATGAATACTGTTCCTCAACTTACTAAAGCAATTTTTGCAGTAAGCAGAGCAGGAAGTAACAATTAATGAAGTTCTCATTTAAATTGGGTTTAGAATATTTTGGTCCAGTTATTAGAACGCCATCTAGTCAAAAACATTGACGAAAGATGTTCAGAGATATTTCAAACCAGTTTTGTTCCTTACAAAATGACAGCGGACTGTAAAAATGTCAGGGATTACCTTCCACAGCTCCCCTTCTTCAACACCTTCATCTGTGCTGCAAAGTTGAGCCCAAGTTTCCTAAAAAGAAGAAAATATAAGTATAGATTTGTATATACCAACAACAAAACAAATACTAGTAAATAAAAATTCACCCATTAGTGTCACCAGCCAAGCAAACAATTTGAGACTTACATCAGGTTCTTCACAGGGTGTAGTCTCCAGGGACATGGTGGAAGACATCATGGAGTCACCAACTTTACCCAGTGGAGAAGGGGGCTCCCACTGGGTGGTGCCTGTGGGAATATGCCAGTAATATGTGCCTGATGTATCTCGCACCCTCATCCATCCTGAAGGCAGGTCCGTGTCCGTCTCAAAAGCACTGGAGTCCCAAAATGACTCTGAAGGGCAAAAAGGAAAACTATCTTAGGACAACTGACATTGAATAAAGTTTTATATATGAACACACACACAAATAAGAATAAAGCATATAAAATAATATAAATATAAGCAAATGCATTCAGAATGAGATTAGTTGAAGTAACACGATGCAGATTCTGACAATCAAATTTAAATATATAGACTAAGTCACCACTGATTGCAATAAATTATTTATTAAACTAAAAAAAGTAATACGTTGTAAAAGCTAAATTTTGCTAAAATGTTGCAGCACTTGTGAACTTTTTAAAACCAAAATAATTATCTGAGCAATCTGTGGCATCAAACGTAAAACTACAGAAAATATAGCGATTAAATAGGTGGTTAATTAACTCCATGCAGTCCTTCGTACCTTTGTTGCCATTTGGAGAGCTGTCAGATGCGTTGTCATGAGACAGTGCAGGCCAGCTGGCCTCTTCATCACTTGGTGTCCCATTCATATTGGAGAAGAGAAGGCAAGGGTTTCTCCCCACAACACTCCCATCTCTTGGAGCCTCACCATTACTCCCATCTGCTGTTGTTGTTTCTCTACCAATGTCGCCTGAGGTCTCTTCATCCTCCTCAGGTTTATCATCTTTCTCTTTATCATCCTCTTCTCTCTCCTTATCTTTCTCCTCTGTTGACTCCACAGTGTCAATGAGTAAAGGCTCATTAAGGATGTTCTTGGACTCCTCCTGACTGAGACCAGGTTTCAACACTATTTTTGGAGACTTGGTCTGCTCCTCGTTTCCCTGTTGTTCTTCCTGAGTGATGTTCTGGTGAGGAAAGTCTTCCTTGTTACCATTCTGGTTGATATTACAGTTATGGTCCTGATCTTGTTGGTTCTCTGCTACTTTACGCAGCTGGTTCTGGCCTTCTTTGACCCACTTGGCATTACTGCCGATGGTCTCCTGGTCGCACCAGTGGCTGCCATCATTCAGCTTGTTCTTCAGCTCCTCATCTTGCTTTTGTTTATTCACAACGTATGCCACGTCTTCATCATCATGGCCACCCATGTTAACTTTTCTTACACCTTATTTCCTGGAAACAAAGAGAGAAAAGTTGTCAGCACTAGAAATATATATATCAAATAAATCAGCACGGTAGTAACTGCGTATTGACCATTAACCTTAAACGAAAGAGATACGTGATTACTATTACATTTACTATTATGACTGGATATAATTACTACATAGTGTATGGATTTATCTGGATGCTAGTTCAGTAGATTCTAAATGATAAATGTAACAATTGTTTAACATATCGGTTTTGAAAACAAAGTCTGTGTCTCGCTCACATTTGCTTCTATGAATTATCACTTCCGCTACGCTACTATGAAACGTACTTCAACATCACCTTTCATTCCCAACACGACCTTTTTTTTAAGATTATGGTCAGACCAGTCAGACGTATTGAATGCAATAATCAAGGGTATTTTCTAAAATAAGGTGATGCACATCAGATGCCATCGCCCGCAGCTGGATATAACGGGAACCATCCGCCATCATCACCGTCCTCTTAGCTAGGCTAATGTTAGCTTCTGAGCAAGCTAGCTAGCTCACGTTTACAAACGATTTTAAAATGTCTTTGGTTGACACTGGTTTACCAAAGTAGCTAGATTATAGACTTACCAAATCCACCAAACCCTCCTGCTGTCGAAATGTAACGAACTGGCGAATTAACTACATATTTCCATGCGTCGTGAAGGCTCGCTCGGTCTCTGGGTGTTTTCAATGGGCTCCGCCAGCGATGGACGACGCGCCTACGTCACGGATTAGCGTCAGACTGACGGAGCCCACGGCTGCATCAGGATCAGCAGATTACTTTTTCAGTTTTTGTTTTGGAAATACATCCGTTGTCAAGTTAGGGGGCGCAGTGAGGATACTCATCGTAGGCGTGTATGAGTTACCCAGGACTTTTCTGAATATTGGCAATTTAGACCTAGTTTATGCAGAGTACTTCAACACAGGGTTGGACATAAAATGTCATTTAAAAAGCCTTTCTTCTATTTTCTGGGAGGTATTTTACTGGAAACAACCTACTGGTTAACACAGAACCTGTGATTTATGATAGTCAGCAGTGACTTTAACCCTCCTGCTCCTGCTGCCATCAAGTCAATCAAGGTCAAACGCATTTGAAAATATCCTCATTTTAATCCAATTTCCACAACAAATGACGCATAGAAGTGTTGCATATTTTTAATATACTTTTGTATAAATACATACATTTTACTCATTCTTGATTTTGGCTTGAACTATATAATTCGGCACAAACAAGCAAGTGGGTAGAGGCACTGAAAGGATGCAGGTAAAATGTGCAACCCAAGGTGGCTGATATAAAATAAAATGTAATCCAAAGCAATAAAAACTAAAAACATTGTTTAAATAGCAGTTTAAGAATCATACACTCCACTCTATAATGTCCCAGTGGTGGCCACAGTTTAGCCGTAACATTAAAAACAGCCTCGTTTTAGATTGTAATGTGTCCCATTCCTGCCTGTGGGATGAACATAAGATAGTACATGTTGGAAAATGTTTCTTGTATTTCAAATGAAAATATTCAAATTAGGTTAAAAAAATACTTCACATGTTGATAGAGGCTGACTTTGTTCAAAGGTATAATGACAAAAAAATAGATTACATGAGTTGCATCAAACATAAGAATAAACACATTTGAGCAACGCAATTAATAATACAATTATAAAAACAAACTCGCAATGAATTTCAAAATGAATATTCTCAAACGATGGGAGGTTTTCATCCCAAAACAAATAAACAAGAGGTTTGGCAAGTGTTAAACTTTTTAAGGGTTATAAAATATATCAGGAAATATTGTTCAAGGCAAGCTGAACAACAGCCGCTCACATAAAATGCCATTAATCATCTTGTTTAAATACAATTTACTTTTGACATGCTTGCTCACTGCATGCCATTCTTTGTCAAAATAAAATATTAATCCTTTTCCACAAAATAGATGATTATTTTGTCTTTTTTTAACTTATAAGCCAATATTTTAAAAGGACCAGTTACCCAAAAAAGGAGCTTTTTAAAACAGTCTCATTCTGGACAAATAAAGCCTTAAAACCATTCAGGTGCAGCAGAGCATCCTGCTGACTTCCACAGGTTATTTATCAATTCACAACGATTGTACTCAAACCACATGATTATGGTTTAGAAGATGAACAGTCATGGCTAAGCTCCTGCAAAGACAATATCAAAAGAGGACTGTAATACAAACTAGATCATGCTTAATAATAAAAAAATACAAACAAAATAAATTCAGTTGAACTCATCTCAAGCAGAAGTTGCAGTGTCTGTGAATGAAGCGATAAGGCAATACTGGTAAGCACCACACCGTCATATCGAGTTGCATCTGGGGTCAAATATCCGTGTTTGTAATCAGTTCAATGAAAGAGCAGTGAGCAATTTTCACTTGTCCTGCATCTTTTCCAAAATAGGAACAATCATGTCAAACTTGGGCCTCTTAGCTGGGTCTTCGTTCATGCAGATCTTCATGAGCTTGCAAATGTGTGGTGAGATGCCAGGGGGGATCGTGGGCCTCAAACCTTCCAAGGAAACCTATAATAAAAAATACAAGATAAAGAGTTACACCAACAGTTCAGGAGCAGAAAGTTAGAGGTAAAGAAATGGACATTTATGAAGTCATATTTATCTGCTCGGGTAAATTAAATCTTTAAATTCAAGCTTTAGTGTTTCTGACCTTCATGCCAATTTCCATGTTGGACAGATCAGCAAACGGGACTTCTCTGGTCACCAACTCCCACAGCAAGATGGCAAAGCTCCACATGTCAGCTGACCTTCGATTGATGTCTTCGGGCTTCTTCTGCAGCGCTGAGAACCACAAAGAAAACCAAGAAAAGGTTACACAGTGAGAGCACACACTACACAACATGCACTCTGCAGCTCTATTTTCTGCTCAACGACATGTCAAATTTATTTATAAAGCACATTTAAAACAGCAGCTGTTACCAAAGTGCTTATACGTCTACATCGATCAATTCAGCTGAATGTTCCGACAACCTTTACATGTTCAGTATATATATATATAATATCACAAAGCATAAAATTACAACTTGCACAGGTTTCACATCACAAACAGCTGGTTACAGACAAAAGGATTTAGTAAAAATAGAAAAATTATTGTGAAATGCCTATAAACCAAATTGTTTAAGTAAAAACTCTTTAGTGCAAGAATACATTTATTGTATATAAATAAAACTTCAATTTATCTTGCCATATAGATCACCATTATGTCATTTTTTTAGCTTAATTTCCCCTGCCATAGTAAAGTTGGTGATCAATACATTGTACTAATACACTTTAATTTAATATTTTAAAGTAATAATGGGTATTCTTTAAATATATAATAAATAATACGAATACGTGTATATAAAATGTACTTGTATATACATTTAAGAATAGAATTCAAAATCTTACTTATAACATACAAAGCCCTCAACAACCTAGCTCCATCTTATATTACAGATCTTATTGGTCCATATTTTCCTAACAGAGCACTTCGCTCTCAGACTGCAGACTTACTCGTGGTTTCTAGAGTTTCCAAAAGCAGAATGGGAGGAAGATCTTTCAGTTATCAGGCTCCTCTCTTGTGGAACCAACTTCCAGTTTCTGTCCATAAGACTGACACATTGTCCAGTTTTATTTATATATTAATGTTTCTGTTCAGTGCCCTGAGTTGACTTCTGTTGTGAATTGGCGCTATATAGATAAACTGAACTAAATTTAATTGAATTTAATTAAACTGAATATATTTTGTCAATTTGCCTTTAAGAGAACATGCGGATGGACAAGAAATGTGGTGAGACTGGAGATAATGTGCAGTAAACTTTAGGCTGCCCACCACAGTAAGACTAAAAGAACATAAAGCTCTGAGTCTTGACTACTCAGCTGTTTGGTAGCTCGGTGTAAATATACGTTACATTCTGGATAAAAATGCACTACAAGTATTAGTTACACCACGTTTTTTTTCCCTCCATTACCATCACATGACGCACCTGTAACAAATATCTCCCATTAAAACTTATCTATGCAGCATAAATAGAAACAGTGCTCTCCATTTCATGGTTCACTAACCAACTAAACATACACTGCATGGGTGTTGTTTCCATGGTAACTGAAAAAGACATATCTGCAGTGCCCTGTATATGCAAAACCATCTTTTTCATGAGTTTGCTGTAGTTTACACCAGTACTACAAACATTACCTGGCTATTGACATGTCCTGTAATCAGTTTATATTTCTAACCTACTTGGATTTCACCGTATCTCTTTGGGAAATCAGTTTTAAATTACATTTGGCTCTGAGACAGTATACGGTTTCCTGCATCCATCATCCTCCATTGGTCTTGTGTGGCTTCAGCTGTCACTTTAGATTTGTGCTGTATGAGCGATGCCTACCCTCAGGAGCTACCCATGCCGGCGAGTACATCCTGCCTGGACACTGGAAGGAGAACTTGACGTCTGCCATGCTGATCCTTGCTGTCATATCTTCATCTATCTGTACAAACAAGACAATGGACTGAAATGTTACTTTCAACGATTTTAAAGCAAGGTTCTTTCATATGACTCCAAAAAAAACACACAGGTTTATGATCATGGAAGCTTTATTGAAGGCAGATAATTTTTCTTACCATAATACTTTTACTGTTGAGATAATGGCGAGGGATCATGGGTTCAAGTGTGTGTAGGAAGGCCATTCCAGAAGCAATGTTCAAGGCAAACTTGACTGCTTGAGTCTGATCGACTACAAAGGCTGACAGCAGGATGAGAAACAAGCAATAAAAGCTTCAGGTCAGTCTGTCTTTAATCACAACACGACGACGGTGAAACTGCTGCTGTAGTAAAAGTGATGGCAACATAATGACAAACATTTAAGTGCAACTACTCACAAATTCCCACAAATCACCTAAGCTGCTGATAGGTGTGGAATTTGTGACCATAATGGAAATACTCACTAGTGCCTTCATGCAGCACATTGTAGAGGGAGCCATAAGGCATCCAGTGGGTGATGATGATGGGGTGAGGGGCAGGAGGAGACTGACATGCTCCCAACATGGGTAGAACATTTGGATGGGAAAATATCCTGGGATGAAGCCAAAAAGGAAAGAACAAGGGGAACAGATAGACAGACACAAGAGGCACAGACAATTTGACAAACAAATCTTGTGTATGCAAATCACTCGCTAAACAAATAAAGTTTGATTCAATGCAAACAGACACATGAGTGAACACGAGTAAAAAGAAAAATTGTGTAAACAGTTGCGGTTTCATATTAACCTGAGTTTGGGATACTCCTCATTAAAGTCTCTGCTCTTCCGTGTGGTCCAATCTCGAATTTTTAGGACCTTAACAACAATTTCATTTCCTTGCCAACGCCCTTGCCACAGCTACACAAAATGAAGACAAATGTGGAGAAACTGAGCAGAACAGTCTGGAGCTTTAATTCATCATGAGTAAACGTGCACAGAACTAAAAGCATGGTTAATTAAGAAAAGTACCTCTCCAGACTGGTTTTCGTTTATTTTTGCAAGGAGAGAAAGCTGTTTGTAGTCAATGCCTGCATGTTTGTTCAAAGTGCCATTGCCTGAAAACAAAACAAGAAAAATAAAGATATAAATTATTCAAACAAGAATATCATTTATCTCATAACTGGACCAATACTAATGAGGAAAAATATAAAAGGAATGAATTGTTTAAAAAGCCACATTGACATTATTTAGGAGGCAAGTCCAGAACATTTTTCTCTCAGTGCATCACTTTGACCAAACCAACGGATTGAAACTGGTCAGCGAATAAAATGGATGACGTGTACTTGGGACTTACGTGGTCGAGTTCGGGTGGTGCCTTTCCAGAATGTGTCCTTGAAGGGAATTTTAGTTAGGTTCTGTCCCAATTTCTCAGCATTTTCTGTGTGTTACAAAAGTGAGAACATCAATTCAAAGCAATAAACCTGAACAAGTTACATTTCATACTGAGATACATTTAAAAAGAGGGTAAATAATTAGATTGCACAGGCGGATGAGATACCTTTCAGGAGGTCACGCAGATGAGGTTTGGCTTTATCCAAAGGAATTTCGCCAAATTTGTTACAGATGCTCACCTGAGCCCCACTACTAACAAGATCCTGCGCAAAAAAAAAAAAAATTATTTTAAGCAATTCTTTAAAATAAAAAGTTAGTTCGACATTTTGACCACTAGGGGGTGCACAAACCTCAGCGACTTGGTCATGGCCCCAGAAGCAGGCATAATGCAGTGGTGTGTTCCCATGTTCATTGGCTGAGTTGGTATCTGCTTTGCACTGGATCAGCTAAAAGAGAGAGAAACAAACCATTACACGAAAGAAAGACTGGTCAGATTTTGTTTGGCCTGTATACAAAGATAGATCTTAATGTTACCAAGAAAAACAAACACATGGTTTTCTTGCCTGGGACACATACCAGAGGTATTAAGACATGCCTAATTTTAAAACTTAAAGCTGCTACTCTAAAAGCAAGACACCTTAAAATAAGTATTTTGACAAACTGAATTATTTCCTAAACAAGTCACTTGGCGTTTCACTTTTATAAAACCCACCAAATGTGATTTACCAAATATTTACAAAATGAAGTAAAGTGCTACATTAAAGTCAAAGATGCATAAAATTCTGAATGTTCAGCTTCATCACTAAAAACCATCCTGTCCCGTGTCTACACTTTGAGCTTTTATAAACAACTTAAATTTCATATGCACCAATAAAAGCTTGTGACATAAACATGCTGCTACAGACTATGCAACACCTATTTTTAAAATAAATACTGCATTTTCCGCCGTACACGTCACACTGCCCTATAAGTTGCATCAGTCCAAATACATCTAATAAAGTGGAAAAATCCATAAATACGTTGCTTCACCATATAAGTCGCATCTATTATGCACCACCGCTGACGTGTCGAGTTTGTTACGCATCACCGCTGACAATCCGGAAAGGTGGGCTGGTGTTGTGCCAAAAATGGATTGGCTGCCAAATGGCGGTTGCAGGAGCATGCACGGGGAGGACTTTAACAAGAATTGAACAAGATTAACACGTAAAAACAATTATTTGTTTGCTCAAAGTTACAGTTAAAGGGTATCTCAGTCTAATTTTACCTTAATAAATGCACCTTGATGGTCAAATCAGCTGTATTTCAAAAGCCGATACGCGCAAGTAGGAGCGTGCACGGGAGGACTCGTTAAATTTCAAAGAAATGCACAGCAAGAGAAGCACCTAAAACAATTATTTATTTGCTCGAAATTATTGCAAAGGTGTGTCTCAGTCTAACATTTTCTTAATAAACGCACTTCAATGGTCAAATCAGCTGCATTTCACAGGCGGTGCAGCAAAATGAAGCTGATTTGACGGTTGCTCCAGGCGAGCTGGACGATGGTAGGATGTATGGCAAGTCAATTGTGTCATTAATAGCCACTTTTAACCATTACATGACGCAAAGGCATGCCATATTACTCGAGTGTCATCTAGCGGCTGAAAATGGTAGTGTTCAATATTTTCAGTCAGAATGAATGAAAATGGTCATGTGTCACAAATCGGTTTATAAATATGGGGGGAAAAAATCCATAAATAAGTGGCTTCAGCATATAAATCGCAGGGCATGCAAATTATGCAAAAAACGTGACTTATAGGCTGAAAAATACAGTATATATTTACAGAATAATTTCATTTAAATAAAAAATTTGTAAGCCAAATCTGGGACCGGATGCCAATTAACATGCGTTCGTTTCCTACAACAGAAGCAATATTACCATATTTTTCACTGTACAAGTCGCAGTTTTTGCATAATTTACATGCCCTGCGACTTATAGGCCGAAGCGACATATTTATGGATTTTTTCCCCCCATATTTATAAACAAATTTTTGGCTGAGATGACAGTTTTCATTCATTCTGACTGAAAAAACAAAAATTGAGCAGTACCACTTTCAGCCATTTGATGGAAGCAGAATAGTAAGTTATATGGCATGCTATTGTATCATGTAATAGGTAAATGTGGCTATAATGACGCATTCAAAATGTTCAAGACAAAAACAACTGGACTTTATTTATTATACTTTATACTTGGTTTTTTTTTCTTGAACTTTTTTGAATTTACCATGTCTTGGATGACTGAGAATCTTCACTAGCTATTAATGACTTAATTGGCTTGCCATACTCTCCCCACCTTCATTCTGCTTGTTGCTTGGAACCGTCAAACCAGCTGCACCGCCCCAGCGAAATACAGCTGATTTGACCCTCAAAGTGCATTTATTAAGCAAATGTTAGACTGAGACACACCTTTGCTATAATTTCGAGCAAACCAATAATTGTTTTTAAGTGTTAAACTTGTTCAAATCCTCCCGTGCATGCTCCCGCAGCCGCCATTTGGCAGCCCATCGGTTTTTGCACAACACCGGTCCACATTTCCGGGTTGTCAGCGGAGACGCATAATAGATGCGACGTATACGGCGAAGTGACATATTTATGGATTTTTTTCCACTTTATTAGACAAATATGGACTGATGTGACTTATCGGGCGGAGCAACGTTTACGGCAGTAAATATGGTAACTGACAATAGGTCAACAATGGTGACGCCTGCAGGAGAACTGTTTGGGATCAAAAAGTCTGAAGGTTTTTGATGTGTTCAGATTTGTTGAGCAAAGTATGCAGATAAGCTTTGTTTAGTGTAACCTACATTTCAGAATTGCACATCAACATATCAGGAAAACTACAGGAATTGAACTTCACCTTATAGCATAGTTCAGGATACCCTCTTAATGTTGGATTTCAAACAAGTAGCTTTAAAACACTGTCAATTTGATCCGAGTCCTTTTGTCTCAATTGTCAGTCAACGCCTAAAGCAGCTTGTGGAAGAGCACCTTTCCACACACTCACAAGCTTTGACAGCACATTGAATTTGTAGTTAGAATTGTTGCTTCACAACAGAAAGGTCCTGGGTTCAAATCCCTTGTTGGACTTGTTATTTTCTGTGTGGAGTTTTAATGTTCTCCTCGTGTTTGTGAGAGTTTGTTCTAGGTACTCCAGTTTCTTCTCCCAGTTCAAAATCACACATCTTCAGGTTACCTTCAAGCCCAGGCTTCCTTTAAAAAAAGATCTGTGATCTCAGTGTGACTTGCCTGGATAAATAAACATAATAAATGTAGCCTCACCAAGAACAGTATTAGGCAAGTTTTGGACTCATATTTTTGCTGCTTCAGCTGTACCACAAGAACAAACAATGTCTTTTTATTCAACGTTGCAATTCAGATGACATCATTTAAGATTTCACAACAGCTTGAGGTTAAGACATAAACTTGCTGAGACACTCCATCATTTCCCAACTGTGTTTAAGAGACAGTCTCACAAATCTGCCACAGGCTTCCACTGACTTTATGTCTTATTCAGCATGGGACAGAGCAAACATGACAGCTTTAATGGAATGCTACCAATATGGATTTGAATCCCAGTGGAATGCAAAAGATGTCCGTTATGTTGTGTTTTTATAACAGTTCCAAACACAACTACTTCATTGTGGACAGGACATAAACCTGGAAGAAACTGTCCAGAGTCTTTGTTCTTTGAGCTTTACCTTTGCCACAATGTCACGATGTCCATGGCTGGCAGCCAAGTGCAGAGGAGTGTCGTCTCCCCGGTTCATGACGTTAATGCGTGCTCCTCTCATGATGAGCATGTCCACCACACTGGAGCGCCCCTCCCTACACGCCCAGTGGAGGGGGCTGAAGCCATGGTCATCTCTGCAATGACAGAAGAGCAGACACAACTTATTATCCACCCTCAAACATATTTTACACAACAATGCTAAACTCTACAAACCATTTTAACAAAAGCTTTGTGATTAAACCATTACAGCAAAATAGCTTTTCAAAGTACATTTTAAAAAGTTTTTCAGTATTTTGTCATTGTCTTCCTCTTTAAAAAAAAAAAAAAAGGCAGAAGCTTGGAACAAACCAAGAGACTGCTGCCGACACATACTCCAGCTGCCAACTTAGTTTGTCTTTCTTTATTTTTCTGTTCTAGTGGTCACGTCGTCCTTTCAAATGAAGTTTTCTCCCACTGCAGACTTTTCCATTCCCTCATCCTCTCCCTTCCAATAGGAAAAACTGCACTAAACTGATTATACACAGCAATCAGAAGTGCTTCTACTGCATGTGAGCGTCCATGTTAGCACCACAACACAGCACAATGCTCTTATTTATAGATTTATTCCTGAACATTTCAGTAGGCAGACGGCATAATAAAAAAATCTGAGAACTGAGGATGTATTATGAATCTGCAAGAATTGTAACTCCCCCCCCGCCCCAAACATCAGTTCGCTAAATTGAATTCACACTTCCTGCAGAGCTTAGTTCAAAACTGGATCAAGAGCCCCAAAGAGACCCTCAGTCCCACAACAAACATCCGCCTGTGTGACCCACTGCAATCACACCAGATCTACTCAGAGGCAACTTCCTCCCAGAGCAAAAGGCCAAATCCAAACGGCCAATTAGTCTTTACTAAAAAGAAACACTCCCTGCTGAATGACTTCTAGGATTCTTATTCGCTCTCGGACCCCTACACTAGACTGTTTGGGGCCATCAATACTTGTACAAAAGATGACTGATTACTGTCATTCCCTTTACACTGATGTGTAAATTCAATAAGGGAATTTCTTCAACTAGGAAACTTGAAAATGTTTTTTTCTTTCGTTGTGCAGTATATTTTATTTTTCCAGTTTCACATTGCACACTAATTCACTTTTTGGAGCAGAACTTTTAAGAATTTAAAATAATAATCAATTGTTAAAAAAAAAAAAAAGCAAACATGAAACTGTCGAAATGTTTTAGTGGTTTTGTCTCACTGTACTCTGGTTTCTTTATGTATTTATACTGCAAAGCTCTTTATATAGGATGGATTCACCATTAAAGCTGACTTCATCTGCCAAACCCAGAGGCATTTGAGTGTCAGGGTTTTTCTTTTTTTTCCTCCCCCAAACGGACTGCGGTAATTTATTTCAGGAACTTCCACCTGCTAGCAGAGCTCAGCATGGCAGACTAAAGAGCCAGAGGAGGAAACCCTGTCTGCACCAACATCCCTGCCAAGTCATGTGAAAAGCCCCACCTAGTCATTTTTTTAAATAATATAAAATAAAACATTTAACACAACGCGTTTTGTTTTTGTGCATCATAGAAAGATCACAAGCTAAAAACACAACAAACATGAATTTACAGAGATGCTTGAAAGTGATTTTCACACAAGTCCTAAAAGTAGATAAAGAGAACCCCGTGAGACAAAAATATTATACTCGGTCATTTATTTATTGAGGAGAATGATCCAAATGTATGTGAACCTTTGCTTTCAGTATCTGGTGTGACCCCCTGTGCAGCAATAACTGCATCTAAACATGTCTGTTAACGGTTGATCAGTCCTGCTCACCGGCTTGGAGGAATTTGAGCCCATTCCTCGGTTCAGAACACCTTCAACTCTGGATGTTGGTAGTTTCCTCACATTAACTGCTGCTTCAGGTCCTTCCACAACATGTGGATTGGATTAACGTCAGGAACTGACTTGGCCATTCCAAAACATGAACTTTATTCTTCTTGAACCATTCTTTGGTAGAACCACCTTAAGAGTCATCGTCTTGCTACATGACCCACCTTCTCTTGAGATTCAGTTCATGAACAGATGTGACATTTTCCTTTAGAATTGTCTGATCTAATCCAGAATTTATTGTTCCATCGATGATGACAAGCTGTCCTGGCCCCTGTGCAGCAAAACAGGCCCAAACCATGATACTACCACCACCATGTTTCACAGATGGGACATGGTTCTTATGCAGGAATGCAGGAGTTTTCCATTCTCCAAACATAACACATTTAAACCAAAAAGATCTGTTTTGGTCTCATCCGTCCACAAAACATTCTTCCAACATTCTTCTGGCTTGTCCACATGATCTTTGGCAAACTGCAGACAAGCAGAAAAGTTCTTTATGGAGAGCAGTGGCTTCCTCCTTGCAGCCCTGCCGTGCACACCATAGTTGTTCAGTGTTCTCCTGATGGTGGACTCATGAACATGAACATTAGTCAATGTGAGAGAGACCTTCAGCTGCTTAGAAGTTACTCTGGGGTCCTTTGTGACCTCATCCACTATTCCACACCTTTCTCTTGGAGTGATCTCTGTTGGTCCACCACTCCAATGATCTCCACTTGGGGAGGGTAACAATGGTCTTGAGTTTCCTCCATTTGTACACAATCTGTGACTGTGGATTGGTGGAGTCCAAACTCTTTAGAGATGGTTTTGTAAACTTTTCCAGCCTGATGAGCATCAACAACTCTTTCTTGAGCTCCTCAGAAATCTCCTTTGTTCCTTCCATGATCCACTTCCACAAACATGTGAAGAGCAGACATTGATAGATCCTGTTCTTTAAATCAAACAGGGTGTTCACTCACACCTGATCATCATCCCATTGATCGAAAACACCTGACTCTAATTTTACCTTCAAATTAACTGATAATCCTAGAGGTTCACATACTTCTGCCACTCACAAATATGTAATATTGGATCATTTCTCCTACTAACTCTAGTTAAGACTCTGACAGAAGCATTTAGGATCAACTGAAGATGTAAAGTAGTATTTGGACACCCAGATAAACCATTGCAATAATCCAGTCTAGACATGACAAATGCATGAACCAGTTCTTCTGCATCATTTTTAGATAAGATGTTTCTAATTTAAGTGATATTACACAGGTGGAAGAAGGCGGTTCTAGTAACATTTTTAACATGGGGGATCAAAGACATGTCCTGATCAAAAATAACACCAAGATTTTTAACATTAGAATTGGAGGCCATATTAAAACCATCCATAATATTTTTGTCTCATTTGGTTAACTGGGTTCTCTGTATGTATTTTCAGAACTTGTGTGAAAATCTGATGATGTTTTAGGTCATATTTATACAGAAATATAGAAAATTTTGAAGTGTTCACAAACTTTCAAGCAGCACTGTTGTAGATTGTTTAAAGATAGGTCATTACAGGTCTCTCTTGTAAATGAGTCCTCGTGACTCAATGAGACTAACCTGTATGAATAAAAGGTTGAATGAAAAAGAAAAAAGAAGACATCAGAGTATCCCATGAGAAATACTGAAGAGGACAGAAGTGTGTCATTTTCATTTGTTGGACAACTGCTTCACAAATATGACCCAAAACCAGTTGAGCATTGCTATTAAAATATAAAAATTAATAGATGTTGATCGAGCTATTGTTTGCTCATATTTGCAGAAGTAGGCCTGCTGACATTAATTCATTTCTTCCCAAGAGTTGTTCTTCTTGTGTCGGGATGTCATTTCTGTCCTCTAGAGACCAACGAGGTAAATACTCTGTTAGCTACAGTCCTGGTGACCGTGTCTATTGCAACACCAACATGCTACGAGCTGATATGCCTTTCAGAACTTCTCACATGCTTGAATTTTCTGTCTCTCTGGGTGCAATGTCATGCCATACCAATCTTTTCGGGTGTGTTTGGAAGTTTTGAGAAGCAAAGGTATGTGGCCTTCATAGACTGAGGGAGGGGAAAAAAAGCAAACATCTGTCACTTTCATTTTACATTAAACAGATTTTATTGAACTCATTTGGATGTAACTGATTTTTTTAAATACAAAGAGAAGAGTGGAATAATATTAAGAAAATATATTGAAGCTGCAGAAAGAAAAGCTTTGCAGAGAGTAGTGAAGGCTGCACAGAAGTCTGTTGGAGTGAGCCTCCCCACCATCATAGACATTTACATCTCTAGATGCAGGAAGAGGGCCACCTGCATCATGAAGGACCCCACTCACCCAGCACAGACACTTTTCACCCCGCTCCCCTCAGGAAGGAGGTTAAGGAGAATTATGTGTAGAACCACTAGACTGAGGAACAGCTTCTACCCTGAGGCTGACTCATGAATCTCTAACCAGAATAATCAGTGTGAAAAATCACATCATGTTGCTGCTGATCTGTTCCATGTTGCTGCTGATCTGTTTTATGTTGCTGTGTTGATGCATGCTCATCTGCTTACACAGAGTCATGTTCGTGCTGCCGTTTGGTTTATTGTTTTTTAGTGCCTGGCGTATTTTTAGTTCATGTTTTTCTTAGTTCATACCTTAGATCTTATGACTGTTTTTCTTTTACATTTTATTATTGGATGCAACTGGGACCCTGTGCACAATTTTGTTCCACCACATGTGGTGCAAATGACAAATAAAGAAACTCTGACTCTGAAGATTATGTCTGAAATTTTGCTTATACACTCTGAAACTTTGAGGAAGCTCTTACAGGAGATGATTGGAGCTATTTTAGACCTCTGGGGGGCAAACACCGGAAACATATTGGAGAGAGGAAAGTGATGTGTGCCGCTATGACCTAACTATGCATTCCTCTCTTAAAAAGTTCAGTATTTAGCTTCTCTCCCTCTGTGTGTGTGTCTCTCTCTGACGAACACACACACACACAGTTTCTTCAAGTCCAGCCCACTACAATGATCTACCCGCCCCCCCTCAGTTTTAGTAGGTGGTACATCTTTCCCTTGAGGCTCTTGTTTTACTCCTTGTAAGGAGATTCAACATTCCACAAGTACTCTTTGTCTGGGAGTTACATTAGAGTAAACACACTGTCATTGAACAGCACAGAAAATGTTTCACTGATTAGCTAGGCCAGAGTTTAGTGGGACTACTGAAACATAGACAAGAAAGGGAAGAAATCTTCTGTAGAGAAAATAAGAGCACAACACCACAGTAACTGTTTCCCAAACTAGAAGAGAGACGTCAGCCGGAAGAGAGAGCTTGACGTGTAATCAGCTAATGGAGAGGCATGTCCACACCGGCTCGATTTAATCACACAACGATCTTAAAGAAGGAGTCAAAGTATAACAAGAAGCAGGATAAATAAATCTAAACTTTTGCACAAATTGTTACGAACCGTTAGGCAAAATCAATGGGGGTACACTTTCAACGAAAAATTTAGATTGTTGGAGAATAAACAAAAAAATAGCTGCTAAAAACAAGTTTTGTTCACTAAATGGGAACAAAATGACCTATGCAGGGTTTTCACCACCCAAATTTATTTTCTACACGATTAACACGTACAGTAAGCACGCCAAGCATCACCACATACATCCTGTTCAAAATTGTGCTTCTGAATTTTTCCACTGCTGTTTGGGCCAGTGCCCACAAGAAAATGAGTTCAGTTTCAGGCCACAATTTCTCTGGGGACTAAAGAGGTGGACTCTGAGCCATCATTAGGGACTGAGTTTAAGAATGCAAGACGCCGCAAACTTCTTTGAGATTATGATCTAAATTATCTGGCATCATAGAATCACGTTGTGACAAGTCTACTGAGCAAAAACTCCTTTTACAATTGCTTAATGAAGCTATGCAGAAACATAAATATTAAAACACGCATCAAAACTGTAGTCCGTCCTAAATTAGAATGATAGTTTAATGATAGCAATATCTTGAAATTTAATTTTTACCTTCAGTGCCCAGAAACAGATGCAATTTTAAATTCAGAATACTATCAGCAGTCTTTTGCCAGCAAACTCACCCCTGATTCAGGTCATTCTCTGTGTTGTCCAACCACAAACGAACTGCCACGGCGTTGCCTTCCCGGCACTGTGTGAAGATATCATCCATCTCGGGTGTTGGTGTATTCTTCTTTTCTCAAGGTGCACCAGTGAGAACAGACGTAGAACTAAACTGAGACTAAGTTCAGGTGATTTCCAGCCAGCATTAGTCCCTCATCTGGGACACAACTGGATCTGCTCTGAGGCACTTGCAACACTGGAAAAATATGGAAAATTTTTGTGTTAAAACTTATTTCAGTTTAGTCATTCTTCCCTTTTTTTATTGTATAAAATGTTAACAACACATGGAGTGCTTAGTGATCCTTTGCAATCATACACAGTGGCTTTTGTGTACTTTTTGTACAACTTCCAGTCGAAAGTGGCAGAGACTTGGAACCTAACTTAAGTATGCAAACATTGTGGACAAGCTAAATATGACAAAATATGCAACAAGCAATGAAGTTTAATTTGACTAATGGAGATCTTCTGCAGACCTCCTGTAACGTGTTTCACAACCACAATGGGGTTTTGTGGGTTGTAAACAAACCGGGGAACCACTAGTTTTGGCACTGTGATGAATTTTGATGGTCATGAGGCAATAGACAGAAGTTGGACACTTCATAAATCTGAACATGTCCAAAATGATTCACGCCGGATAGAGGTAAAATAGTCTTTAGATGTTCTTTAAAACAGCAGCTTAACAAAAAAAGTAGGAATAGAGCAGGCTGTAGGAAAAACTTTATATTTTCAGTCTAAACTTGGCTGTAAATAGTTGATTTCACACCTTATCAGATCTTACCTGTCAGATCACACTTTTCAACGAACATTAAAAAATACAAACAAATCTACACAGAAGTTATAAACCATCTCTAATTTCTTTACACTTTGATTCAAAACAACAATATCTTGTTGTCCTGATGCATACTCAATAATCCAGGTAAGTCAGGTCCTATGACAGAAGAATCCATCCAGAGGGACCGGACTTAAACTTGTTAGATAATTTCTTATATTTTAAAGCGGTCCTGATTATTTTACTGCCAGATTCTTTTTTAAATATCACAAAAAAGTCTGAATTGTATAGCCTTTATACACAGTAGGTGAACAATATCTAAAAGACATGTCTTTAAGAATTAGAAAGAAAAATATATACTGTAGTAAGTAACTAAACATCTTCCTCCACTTGATTATTGACTGTAGCCCATAGATTTTTCGGAATCAAATTGTTTTGCCATTTTAATATTTTAATGGTGTAATTTTTGGTCTTTTTTTAAATAAATTCAATTACACAGATAGATGCAGTGTTTCTTTTGGAAAGGCTGTTAATAACGAAGTCTCAAAAGATCACATATAAAACTGATTATTTACCAAATGTTTGTTGACACTACAATGGTTCATCCCTTAAGTTTAATTAGTTAAGAAATTCAAATAAAAAACTACAAATCACCTAAAAATATCAAATATTTGACTGGAAATGAAAGAGGGTAAAAAAAAAAAAAAGAAAAAAAAAAAAAAACGTTTTAAGTCCTTCCGAAAGTCTCAAAAACATTACCCCAAACCACTATGACCATTGCATTAGTTTGGCTCTTAACTTATAGGGTGTGTGTGCATAAATATAGATATCAGAGGTGATTCAAAACTTTTGCACAATCTTGAAGATATTAAGATTATAAAGGTAAGACACGCGCATCACTACTCTAAGGTCATACAAATAAGAGACAGTATAAAAAGGATTTTATAATGTGAGTCTGTGATTTAGTGAGTTAACATAAACTGTCACCGTTAACTACAGTTAGCAGCCGCTCTGCTATCCAGCTAACACAGTGGAAAAGCTAAAGCTTAGCTACTATTTACAATATGAAGGCCACAACTGAGTACGTTCATTACGTTAGATAAAACAGAAAACCCACACCTAGTTACAGGGCTCTGCTTAAACGTACCCAGCAATGTCCAGTAAACAAAAAAGAGGCGTTAGCGGATCTCTGCTAACAAGCTAACTAACTGATTGACGCTGAGAGCTGCTTGTCTAAGACGCCCTCTGTTAATTTCAAATACACTATTTTAAAGTTACAGTAGTTGTAACTAATAATGTTCGTTTCCATGAGAATAAACCTACCTGATATTGTCCACCCTTTGTGTTGTAATATAGTCAGAGAAGTTAAAGCTACACAGTCCGCGGATAGCTCCAGCATCAGAGTGGGGCAGATCCACACCCTCAACGACCCAGGGACGTGCGGACGTTCACTTGACTGAGAGCGAGAGCGCCGCCCTCTATAGGCGACAGCGAGAACTGCAACAAGTTCAAATATTCACTACCTCAGGGCGTGTTTTTATAGAACTCCAAAATTGACCATTTTTAAAGGAAAATTATTATTATTTATCATAATAATGAGCTTACATACTTATTTTCATAATGCTTTATTTATTTATTTAACTTTAACCATTTTGGTGCTTTATGTTTGTTAAAAACAAAGCAAATTTAGCCTTTTATTTATACAGGTAGTCTCATTGAGCCACGAGAACTCATTTTCATAATGACATAAATGACAGGCAAATAAATTAAATATAGTTTTGTTTATGTTTTCCCTTACAAACCTTTCTGGCAGTAATGCATGTCTTGTACTTAATTCTTCTATTCATGGCTGCCCTTAAGTCAACTCACTACACAAGTTATGTTTATGTTTGTGCACATAAATGTTCTCAGACTCTATTCATGCTGATGTTCGGCGTATTGTTTTTATGCCTAGCGCATTTTTAGTTAACGTTTTTCCTTAGTTCATATCTTAGATCTTATTACTGTTTTTCTTTGACATTTTATTGTTGGATGTAACTGGGACCCTGTTTACACAATTTCGTTCCACCACATGTAACACGTGGTGCAAATGACAAATAAAGAAACTCTGATTGACTCTCTCTGACATTTGTATTCGTGTCCATCCAAGGTAGAGCCCCACATGAAATGGTTTGAGTTTTCAAAGAGAAAATAAAAGGTCCATATAATTTTTTTGTCTTTTTTTGTCTGTAAAACTTAATAGTTTATGATTAAGCTGGAGCAGGAACAGAAAAACAAGAAACACTGACAACCTTTCTAATTTCCAAAAATAACATTACTTTAACATCTGTTAAGTTCCTGGCAAGAACTAATGCAAACATGTTCCTGTTTTTAGTATTCTATACCGCCTCGTAATCTAGCTGTTTTTTTCACTATATTTGCTTTTAATTATCATTTTGTTTTCAACTGTAAAAAAAAATACAAAAAATAATAATTTGTATGCCTCATTTGTGATGGTCTTTTGTTGTCATTCCACTTTTGTCATCACTCTGTTAAAATGCAGGTCTCTCTTTTAAATGAGTCCTCGTGGCTCAATGGGACTAACCTGTTTGAATAAAGGTCGAATTAATTAATTATATTATTAATAATTATTAATTGTTGATGGTTATTATTATTATTATTATATTCATAATAATAATAATACCCAACATACATTTTTACTAAAGGAAAACTCTATATCCCAGATATCTGTGGGATGCTACGTCATCAATGTGCGCCTCTTCTGTTTTGCTTCCTCGACGCGCATGAGACAAATCAACGTGGTTTTCTCCTACTAAATGTTCCTGCTTCTATAATAATTAAAACTTTTAGTTTTTAGTTTTTTCTCGGAACACATTCAGATTATAATATTCTTAACAAGTAAATCGGTTGTTTTTCTTGTTTTGCATCCGAAACGTTTTGGTTAGAGAAGAAACGGAAAAGGTAGACTACTATATTATACTAGTACTAGTATACTATTTGGGTGGTTAAATTTCCTACAGTGTAAGAGTAAACATGTTTGATGAATACGAGGATTGGAATGACGAACCAGAAGCAAATATTTGGAGTCAACCCGTATTTACAAACACACAGAAAGATGACAGCAGCTCAAACGTAAAGGTACACAACCTTTCATTGATTTTCCTTTATAGAAGTGAGAACAGAGCCAACAAGTAAACTTCCCTAATCAGTTTTTATAAAGATAATGTTTTATAGTGTCATACTATCTGAATTTTGGGCAGTTACACCTCAACTACTTGAAGGTATTATACTTATTGTGAATTTCCCTTCATCAGTCCAAGGTTGTTGGGAAAAAGAGCCTGCTGCGGACCCTGCAGACACTGGGATCAGTACCGGAGTGGAAGAATGACAACGAGATGGATAGTGACAGAGAGACAGACGTCACTTCATCGCAGAGTAAAAAGAAGAAAAGGAAAAAAAAGAGAAATAGTGGAGAGAAATCAAAGCAGCAAGAAGGTGGAGATGTTCAGACTGTAAAGGAGGGGAAAACTGTGTCAGAAAAGAAGAACGTAAACAAACCTGGTTAGTGATCACACGTTCAGTTCTGTACATCAACGGCATTATAAAATAAACTATTATTTCTATTTAACTTGTTGATTTAGCCAGGGCTTGAGTGTCCACACTCTTCACTGTGTCTAACTGTAAATCCATTTTTTTCAGGAACTCTGCAGACAAACAGCACGTCTGCAGACGAGACAAAGGAGAAAAATATCACAGAATCACAAGTGGATGTAAACAAACCGCAGAGCGCAGAGAAACTTAGCAGACAACAGTGGAAGGTCAAGATGAAGAACAAGAGAAGATGTAAAAATAAATACCGCCAGGATAAACCAGAGGAGAATGTAAACAAAGCGCAATCTGTTGATGGACAGGAACCGAAAGAAGAAACCCAAATAGAATCACGTAGCAACAATAGTCACTGTGAAAACAATGGTCACGCAGAAGAACAACAAAAGAAAAACCAGCATAAACCAGTGAAAAGGAAAAATACAGATGTGGAGATGGATTTATTTACTCCAGCAACAATGAAAAAGCAACAAAAGGCAGAGAAAAGGGTAAAAGGTGGAAAGACTACAACCAGTGTGTTTGGAGGTTCTGCTGATGGATCGAATCAGGAAGCAGGTGGGCTTCAGATGATCAGGAGTAATCAGCAGCAGGCTGCCAGAAAACCACAGAAACCCGAGCTGACCAAAGAGCAGAGTCGAAAAAGACAGAAGCTGCAGAAAATCCTCCTCAGCCAGGAAAAGGATAAACATGAAGCTCAAGAGGAGAGAAACGTCGCTCAGATGGAAGTAGAGGAGGTGGACCAAAGCCACTCTGACTCCCTCAGGTCCCGCATGGAGCAGCGACTGGAGGCGGCTCGGTTCCGCTACATTAATGAACTGTTGTACACTACGACCAGCGGGGAGGCGAAGCGCATGTTCCGACAGGACCCGCAGGCCGCCAGCGTTTACCACAGAGGTTACACGGCCCAGGTTCAGAGATGGCCCTCCAATCCAGTGGACGCCATCATCTCTTTCATTAAGAAAAGGTGAGACGACGGTCAGTGTTGCCGTGTTTTTATTGTTGCTTTTCTTCGATTGCTCCGTTGTGCAGGGGTCACCACAGTACGCAAAGTCGCACCGATCGCCCTTCTTGACGCAACCTGGGCTCGAACTCACAGCCTCAGGATTACAAGATCACTGCACGGACCACCGAGGTGCCACAGTCCTGATGTTTTATTATTATAGTTCTTAATTGTCTTAGGTTAATGTTGCTACCTCACTATAAAATCCAAGATGTATCCCAGGAATGTTAGGAAAGGTTTGTACAATTAAGAGGGCACTTATTTTAAACAACTTTTTAAACTACAGTCTTGTCATGAGATCCACAATAACAAAAGTTAGGTCCAACCAACCAGCTTCACACAGTTTGGTTGAGCAAATAAGCGATCACTGAGCTCAAGCCTGTTTTTAGACGTCTTTCTTCTTTTGGATTTTCACTCTTCAGGAGTCGCCACAGCGAGTCATCCTCCTCCATCTCACTCTGTCCTCACTCCAACTACCTACATGTCCTCTCTAACTGCATCCATATATATTTGTCTTTTTCCTGGCAGCTGCATTTCTAACATCCTTCTACCAGTATACCCACTGTCCCTCCTCTGGACATGTCCAAACCATCTCAGTCTGGCCTCTCTAACTTGATCTCCCAGTTGTTCAGCCTGTGCTGTACCTCTGATGATCTCATTCCTAATCTTATCCATCCTTGTCACTCCTAAGGAGAACCTCAACATCTTCATTTCTGCCACCTCCAGTTCTTTCTCCTGTCTTTTTGTCCATGTCTCTATCTCCAGACCATACAGCATAGCTGGTCTCACCACTGTCTTGTAAACTTTTGACCTCTGTTGACACCCTTTTGTCACAAATCACTGCTGAAACTTTTCTCCATCCTGCCTGGACTCTCTTCTTCACCTCTTTACCACACTCCCCGTTTTCCTGTACAGTGGACCCCAAGTACTTGAAATCCTGCACCTTTGTGGCCCCTGCTCCTTGTAGCCTCACTGTCCCACCGGCCTCCCTCTCATTCACACACATGTACTCTGACATCATTTTTCCTGTCAGTATGTTACTCAAGCAGCACGGCTCAGCTGGTAGAACCGAGAAGGTTGCCAGATCAAATCACAGCCTGGGATCTCTCTGGGTGGTTTGCATGTTTTCTCTGGGTACTCCAGTTTCCTACTACGGACCAAAAACATGCCTGTTAGGCTAACTGACAACTCCAAATTGTCCCTTGGTGTGAATGATTGTCTCTTTGTCCCTGTGATGGACTTGCGACCTGTCCATGGTGTCCTCCGCCTCTCTCACAGTGGCTGCTGGATGTGGACACCAGTGACCCCTGTCAACTGGAAAGGAAGAAGCGAGTAAAGATAGTAGCTAGCCAGATGGAAGAATGTTAGTCAGCTTTTCTGTGCAGAAGGTCTGCAAAGCTGCAAAATTCCCCACTGTTCCAAACACGAAGTCTGATCTTAAACTACCTGAAATAAGACATTTATACTTCAGGCTTTTCCTCTGTTACTTTTTTACACCACTAAGTACCTCTAGTATGTGTGCATCTTCTAGCAGCTTTGCCACAATCTCAAACAAAACAGCTGCTGAGTACTTTATTTTATTATCAGAGCCTCCTCTGAAATATTTTAAAGCTAACCAAATGCATCAATAAAATCTGTGAGAAGAAACGGCAGTTTTCACTCTCACATGTTGTGCATCTAATGTGACTAATAGTTATTATAGTTTGACTACAGGCTCGAACTGCATCAAGATGCTGAAAGACACATGAAAGTTTAAAACTTTGTACATAGAATCATGGTTTACAGTTAATCACCTACTTCTTAAAGGAAGGAACTAAAATTTGCAATCAATGTCTACACGAGGGATCAGTGGACACTATGGGGTTAACAGGTATTTTAAATGTCACACAGGTCATGCCATCTTATTCTGGTTATTTTACTGAATTACATGTATGATAATAGTTTTGTACTTTTTCATCTCAACTACTGTGCTTGCCACCGTACACGTGGCACCACCGTATAAGTTGCATCAGTCCAAATATGTCTAATAAAGTGGAAAAAAAAACCCATAAATGCATCGCTTCGCCGTGTAAGTCTCAACTATTATGCGTCACCGCTGACCACCCGGAAATGTGGGCCGGTGTGCCAAAAATCGATTGGCTGTCAAATGGTGGCTGCAAGAGCATGCACAGGAGGACTTAAACAAGAATTTAACAAGATTGACACTTAAAAACAATTATTTGTTTGCTCGAAACTATAGCAAATGTGTCTCAGTTTAACTCTTCCTTAATAAATGCACTTTGGCAGTCAAATCAGCTGCATTTCAAAAGCTGATGTGCGTTTCAGGAGCAAGCAGAGGGTCGACTCGCTGTGCATTTCTTCAGAATTTAACAAGATAACCACCTAAAAGCAATTATTTGTTTGCCTGACATTATAGTAAATGTGTCTCAGTTGAACTTTTCTTTAATAAATGCACTTTAAATGTAAAATCAGCTGCATTTCTCCTGGGCGGTGCAGCGAAATGCAGCTGATTTGACGTTCGCTCCATGAGTTCCGGAGCGAGACGAAGGTTATGGCAAGCCAAGTGTCTCATTAATAACCACTTTTAGCTATTTGTGAGACACTTGGCTTGCCATATTACTTGACCACCCTCTAGTGGCTGAAAATGGTAGTGTTCAACATTTTCCATGTCAGAATGAATGAAATAGTCAGATCTCAGCCAAAAATTGGGTTATAAATGTGGAGAAAAACATTCCACGTTTGTGACACATATCCATGTAAAAGCTTCACCGTGTTTTATCTGTGTTGTGCGAATACAGATCTGTGCATTGATTATTACAGAGTAATAAAACTCCTCAGCCTTGGCCTTTTTCCAGGACCGTTCCAAGTTGTCTCTTTGCATCTGGAGTCTAGAATAATTCGATCCTTCCTCGAGTCCATCTCAGCTTCTCGTTAACATCCTCACACAGCTGCAGTAAAGAACAAACGCAGTATATCACTGAGCTGAAGACTTTCTGACAGCAGGAGTCCTCGCAGCAGCTTTGTGGGTGTTATTTTAATCAGCGCTTCATTTTGCTGCTGTGAGGGAAGGAACTTGCTGACGTCGGCAGTTTGCGCCGAGAGAACAAACTTTTCCTGTGAAGTTAAACCCCTCACTGGTTTCAGCTGATTCCTGTTAAAAACTTGTTTCGTGTGATTCGTTGCAGGCCTCCTTCGCTGGTGGTGGCAGACTTCGGCTGTGGCGATTGTAAAATAGCGCGCAGTGTGAAGAACAAAGTGCACAGCTTCGACCTGGCTGCCACCTGCGAGCTCGCCACAGTGTGCGACATGGCCAGCGTGAGTGTCTTTCTGTTCAATAACCTCGTGACGTTCTTTGATTTTTAAGAAACATTTCTTCTGTGCAGGTGCCCCTTGGTGACGGCTCCGTGGACATCGCCGTGTTTTGTCTGTCCCTCATGGGGACCAACTTGGCAGATTTCTTGGCCGAGGCCAATCGAGTTTTAAAGATGGGGTAAAGAAGTAAAGTCACTGGCTCGTATAGCTGTTGAGTTTTACTTATAACTAATCTGTGGTTGGTTTTGTCCAATGGTTGCAGGGGGATCCTCAAAATAGCAGAAGTAGCGAGTCGATTTGACAGCGAGCGATACTTCATCACAGCACTGACACGACTGGGATTTAAGATGACGTCCAAGGTGAGGCAACAAACATCTGGAACTTTGTGTTATTGTTATTTTATGTGTCGAAGTCGAAAGGCGAACATTTTATGGTTTAGTCTACATCCGTAAACTTTCTCTGTTCCCGCCCACTTCTGGTCTACTCAAGATAATTCAATGAATTTAAACCCATATTCATCATCACAAGACGGAGTGTCTCATATTTTTCACCACCCAAGTTTCAAGGTCCAGTAGGCCTGTCACGATAACAAATTTTGCTGGGCGATTGATTGTCTCAGCAATTATTATCAAATTTAAGAAAAACTGTTTAATTTGTGTTGCATGTAGTACATTTTTTGACCACCAGATGGCAGTATAAGACTGTTTGAACCAAAGGATGGTTAGTGAGGGGGCGAGCAGCGTGTCTCTTTAAGAAAAATGGGAGGGAGGCCCCTTGACATGACATGGACTGTCTCTCTTCGGTTCTCAAAATGGCGGACGCTCGGTGGTTTGAGCTCTTTAGCTTAGCATCTTTCACACAAAGTTTTTAATAAAAAAAATCAGTAAACAAGTTCTCAGCTTCTTTTTGCAGAGAAAAACAACTTGTTACATGAAGGCACGGGTTTCAGCTGTGAATTTTGGAGCTTCGACAAGACGGAGGTTTACTTCCCGAGGTCGGCTGAGACGCTGAGAAGCTTAGCTTCTCAGCGTAGCTGCTTTTAACAATCCAAAAACACGATTTTAACAATCGTGCTTTTAACAATCCAAAAACATGATTTTGGACGGTTAAAATAGATTTTAAAGAGAAAAGAGAGGGGGTGGGTCAGTAAAGAACACCGGAGTTGAGCCTTTTGTCATCCAGTGTCTTCAGAAAGAGAGAGACACGAAGAAACGATAAGCTGATAAATGAAAATTAGATTGATCATTTTCATTTATCATGCGATTAATTGATTTATTGTTTATTGCGACAGGCCTAAGGATAAGGCTACAAATCTAGGTCAGAGGTCATACAAGGTCTTTGCTTGTCCAACTCATTGCTGAAGATCAGGGGGTCTGCAGCCTGCGACTCTGGAGCCACATTTGGTCCCTCTTCAGCGCCTCTTTCAAGCTTTGATTAAAACTAACATAAAACTGAATTTTATTTTTTATACAAACAACAAAAAAGGATCAGTTCGAACAGTTTTCCTGTCATTTCTTTTGCAAGTATGTGAACACTGGAGTGAGTACAAGGAGTAAAACATACTTTAACGTCATGCTTTATTTCTTTATACAAAGAACTGTCTTCATAGTTTATAGATTTTTTTAATTAAAAAAAGGTAAAATCTTTTTTTAATTTTTTTATTTACCCCCTTTACAAGAATCTGGTCTTTTACTTTAATAAATGTTAAAAATCATTAGATATTTTTTGCTTTATAATGTCACCCATACTGGCCACAAAAGACCCCTCCAGCAAACCTAACATGGCCCATGGACCACCAGTTGAAAACCACAGTTGTAGCTGGTTGTTGCGGCTCCGGACACGTTTAATGTCGTGAACGAAGGCGTAAAAATGTCTCTTCTGATCGTAAAGGTTGCAGACCCTGCTACAGATTGATGCGCCGTAGTTTGTCGACGGTCGAATAACGTCCCACGATACGCTTCATTTTAATGTGATCACGTGTTCTAGCTTTTATACAACAAACCAAATGGCTCAGAATCTAATAATAAAAAGTATATGCATTGTGCACTTTTAAATCAAAATGACAACATTTATTTCATTATTTATTTCAACGTTTGCCACGTCTCTTGGCACACACTGGGATGTGGTGGCTGCCAGCAGCTTGGTTTATAATTTACAGCGGGCAGGAAGCTGCAGGTTGAACAGACTGTTAAATATCACGTATGCAGATAAACTGTGAGTTAATCCTACGTGAGGACTGCTAGCTCACATATTTGTATTACCGTGTGAAAATAATTGTTTGTTTTCCCCTTTAGGACACAGAAAACAGTCATTTCTACTCCTTTGAGTTTGTGAAGACGGGAGATGCTCCAAAAAATGTCAAGAAACTTGGACTGCAGTTGAAGCCCTGTTTGTACAAGAAAAGATGATGTCAGTGGAAGACTTGCTAAATGTGCTAAATGTTTGTATCAGTCATCAGAACAGTCAGCTGTGCTTTGTGGATGTATTGTTTTAACATGAACAGTGGGATGCAAATAATCATTTACAATTTTAAGTAGAGTAACCCAGAGCTAAAGTTCGGCAGCCATCTCAACCATCAGTGTTTTTAAACGAGTTTTGTTGCAGCGAAGAGTATTTTCTGCTCATATTGAGGATTTGTGTTTTTTTTTTTTTTTTCTTTCTTCAGAAAGTTTCAGTTCTGATATTTCTGGGTCGTCCTGCTTGCACTGCTCTTTGAACGTTCATTTGAACATGAATAACAATATTTTGTTCTGATAACGGTCCACTTGGCATCCACTGCGAGTTATTTTAGTTTGTACCGAGTTTCTTTTCCCGTTCCACTGACTTCATGTTCACGATCGACCCTTCCACAGATTAACAACGAGCGGGGGATTATCATGAAACTACACCTTTACATCCTCTCTTTTCTGTTGTTTATGCCGCTGCAACCTAAAAGCTGTGTTTTCCACCAATCCAGGAACTTGTTTTAAAATGTAATGAGGAGACTTCCATGTGCAAAGTATTGAGGTGATGTATTTTATTGTTCTCTCTTTCCTCTGATTAAACTTCCATTAAAAATGTCTTTGTGCAGTGTCACTGCTAACTGGAGCAGTATGCAAAACAAACTAGAAAATGTTTGCCCACCACTTTGGGTACCCAAATTATTGCACAAATATCTTGTTTTTAACTAAACTAAACAAATAAGACGCAGTGGTTTTGATTCAAATGTTGCAAATAGTTTAAATAAATAACTTAATCCATTATGCAGGTCAGTTATAACTTCAACTACATTGCAAAGACTACATTTTTATATTGCCACTATGTTAGATACATTTATAAAACTATTATTTTTCTGCATCAGTACATTGTTTTTGTTTAATTTGTTGGTTTTATTTGCCATGTTTCAGGTGCATACTGGTGTCTTTCGAGCTGAATTTGCTGGATTCAGTTTTAATATTTTTAAGAGAAGTATTCTAAAGAGGAAAAAGTATATGAACCTTTAAACAAATCTGGACTTTTTTTGTAATTGTTCTGTTTATAGTACAGAATTTACCTATTATATATAAAACTATATGACTCTTCATATTAGCTGACTGAAAATATGGAAATGTTTGAACAAAAGAGAAAATGGCAAAAATGGTTTTAATAAAACGTTTTTTTAAAAAGTAATACAGTATGTATAAAACAACATATAAAATTCAAGTAAGGCTTAAAAAAGTGCAACCTTTTTGTCTTTCAAAGTCTTAATGCCAATCTGTTTAAAAGCCCAGCTTAATTTCAGTGCTACGTTTATACAAAAATAGACAGAATTTAAACAGTAAGTTGTAAAAATGCACATTTTAAGCTGCATTTGAGTTGTAAAAGCCTCTCTGTGCTCACACTGTACTCTTGACGTCAATGACTATGGAGTAACCGGTGCTCTGAGTGTACTCCTTCTCTGGTCCAGGCTTCACCTCAGGAGAACCAGGCTCCTGCATGAGACTAGTCAGGCCCGAGACAGACTCACGCGCCTGAATTAGAAACAAGAATGACAGAACTCGAAAGTTTTCTATGTATAAAATATAAATATGGATATTGAATGTTTAAACGTACCTTGTACAATGTTCTGTTCCTTCTTTTGCTGTAAAACAAACCACAATAATTTAGATTTAATAAAAATAGTAAGTATCCTGATGCATGCTCAATAATCCAGGTAGAAAAATCCAAAAAAGTTCAATCTGGTCCTCTGGACATTCAAAAAAGCAAAAAACAAAACAAAGCAAAAAAATCTAGAAACGTTTTGTCTCTCATCCAAGAGACTTCCTCAGTCTGAGGTGCTGTTTTCAGCTCAGTCTCTTAAATAGCACCTTCTCAGAGTGGATCAACCAGTTTTGCTGCTGACAACCAAAAACAGCTGATCACATGCTCAAGAAGGACCATCAGCCTAACAATGGATCATTAGCACACTGATGGCTGTTTACTGTTTACAGAGGGCTGAGTGATACTAGCAATCACAGCATTGTAAGAGGGGGACAGTTGAACCCGGAGGCCTCCACCCCTGTTTAATGATGGACGATTTCTTTTCACAAAGATGGCCTCCTTTACTCCTCTCTCAAACCATCGTTCCTCTCTGTCCAGGATGTGAACATCTTCATCCCTGAAAGAGTGACCGCTGGCCTGGAGATGAGTGTAGACCGCAGAATCCTGGCCTGATGATGTTGATCTTCTGTGCTGGGCCATCCTTTTGGCCAGTGGCTGTTTTGTTTCCCCGATGTAAGACTGATCACAGCCCTCCTGACACTGAACAGCATACACAACGTTACTCTGTTTGTGCCGGGGGACTGGATCTTTGGGATGAACCAGTCTTTTCCGTAATGTATTTTGGGGTTTAAAAGCCACTGGGACGTTATGTTTAGAAAATAAACGTCTCAGTTTCTCTGATACCCCCTCAACATACGGAATGACCACTGGTCTGGGTCTGGGTTCCTCCTTTTCACCTGATGGCTGACTGGAGTCCTGTTTGGGTTTCTTCTCTGCTTTCAGGAAGGCCCAGTTAGGATATCCACATTGCTCTAGAGCCTGTCTTGTGTAGGATTTCTCCTTCTGCCTGGCTCCTGAGCTAGTGGGGACGCTGTCTGCTCTGTGATACAGAGTCCTGATGACTCCTAACTTGTGCTCCAAAGGGTGATGGGAGTCAAACTGCAAATACTGGTCTGTGTGGGTGGGTTTGCGGTACACCTCGGTTTGCAAATGTCCTCTATCAGAGACTGAGACCTCACAGTCCAAGAAAGCCAACTTGCCATTTTTTGCCACGTTTCTAGATTTTTTTGCTTTGTTTTGTTTTTTGCTTTTTTGAATGTCCAGAGGACCAGATTTAATTTTTTTGGAAAAATAGTAAGCATTATTTTTGTCTTGTCCACTAGATGGCAGTGTAATGTAATTGTATAAACTGAACTAATCCAAGATGTCAAAATGATGTGAATGCACTAGAGTACAGCAGTGGTCCAACTCTTCACTGATCTCTGAGGACTTACTTTGTTTAATACAACTTCAGTGATGTCAACCCATGGGTGCTGGGTGCTGCTGAGTTCAGACAACTGGAGGTGAGGGTTCCCACAATAGCTCTGCTCTTGGAGTCATATCGACTTTCCCAATTTAGCTCTTTCAAAACCCTCCCCTCAGTACAAAGCCATCGAAACGGACTCTGCCATCAGTCTTACTGAAACAAGTGTAAACACTAGTCGTATAAGTCTGGTCTCTTCTGATCCTGAAGGCACAGATGGATTATGGTAGTTTGTACACTTCCACAATAATAATAGTTTTGTGTCATCAGCAACTTCTCCCAGAAACATTAGGGCTTGACAACAGGGATTTTTGGTGAACTCCTGTCTGGCTTTTTTGTGTTTTTCTGTTGGTGGTGAAGCCTAGATCTTCTTCCATGATTCAAAATAGCACAAACAATCAGAAAGGGACATTTCTTTACCTTGGAGTTCAGCTTGAATGGTTTTGGATGGTTTCCTTGGCTCCTAACTAACATCTGCACTGTCCATGTAATGAACTTTGGGTTGCATTTATTCTTGCATCCATGTCTTCGGAGGTTGGCTACAGTCCCATAGACCTTACACTTCTAAATAATCGTGTCAGCTGCAGTCAGAGGAACGTGAAGCTGCTTGGAGCTGGGCCTGTGGGATCCACATTTAGCATGGATATAATCTTTCTGAACTCCTCAGGCAGCTCTTTGCTTTTTCTGGTCCATGTTCAGTGTGGCGTACACAGTGATACCAAACTACCCAGTGGCAGGTTTGTTGGCTTTAAATAGACAGAGTGGTTGATTAAAAAAAGTTGAGACACCTGTGATAATAATTACAGTCAAGCATTTAGTTTGAAACTGGACTATAATCTGCTCATTTTATTTTAGCAGTAACAAATGATCATTTCCTTTTTTATTTTTATTTTTTATAACAAAAAGGTAGATATATATCAGACAGTTGTTTTTACCTGAATCATACGGTGGCCCTGGGGAGTAAATGAACAACATTTGAAAAAACAATTACATTAAGGCAAAGCGGAAGTGGCCGAAGCAGAAGTGGCCAAAGCGGAAGTGGCCGAAGCGGAAGTGGCCGAAGCGATAGTGGCCGAAGCAGAAGTGGTCGGAATTTCATCCGGTTTGGCTTATCGTAATTCCGTTTTTTTCAAATGTAATTCCAGCCACTTCCGCTTAGGTTAATGTAATTCTATTTTTCTCAAATGTTGTTCACTTACACCTCAGGACCATCGTAGGATCACCATTCAAGAGAAATGAAGCAGAGTTAAAACGAGCTTTATGAGCACCAGCACATTTATTCACGTCCTCGTATTCTGTGAAACCACAGATGTTTTTGGGACTGGGACTGAAATCCCTTACCAGTTGTAAAAGACTGGACTCTTCGCCTTTTGCCACAAGTAACAGCGTTAAGAAATGAACGCGTGGAATGTTTAGACTGATGTACGGGAGCAGGAATTTTATTTCAAAAACTTCCAAAAGCACTTGAACTTTCTGCTCCCTTACCCTCAGTGTTTCCAGGGTGGCAGTGAAAATTATTGACCAGCTATCACAGACTCTTCTGCAAGAAGTAGAGCTGCTAAAAGCCAGAGCAGGAAACTAGACCTTCAATCTGTCGATCTCACTGAGGAACTATCTCTACCTGTGTGCAAACAGGGCTGCGGTGGCAGAGACACTTGTCTGCATCAGGCACGGCTTTCCTGTTTGTGAACATGTTAGTGGTTGACGGTGAGTTGGGTTAACGATCCACACATCCTGTTTGTCTCGTACTGCACCGGCAGCGTTGCCCTCGTTTACACATCAGCACATCACTTGCTAGGCCAAGGCTAAGCTACAGAACTGCTCAGGGGTCCACACAGTTTCTGAAAGCCAGCAGCTCAGGGGCCGGACATTCAGCGATTGAAGTCATTATGTAAATAAACCAAGTACCGTATTTTCCGGCGTATAAGTCGCCCCGGAATATAAGTCGCATCAGTTAAAAAAAAAGCATCATGAAGAGGAAATAAACATATATAAGTTACATTTATTATGCGTCACCGCTGACCCATCATGTTTATTTAATGGTCAAAACAGCTTCATTTCGCCTGGGTGGCGCAACGCCATCCATCCATCCATCCATCGCGGCCAAAGCCACTAGCTCTCCAGTGTTCCTCCGCCTGCACCCGCTGAGTGAAG